AAGTAAACAAGGCTTATGCATCCCTTGGTAAGGAGGATTTCCCAGATGCTGGCAAGGATCTATTTGGCAAGGGTTTCGAGTCACACCTTAAGGAACGTACAGAAACAGCAAAAGCAATAAATGAAGCTAAGAAAGTGGGGCAACAGCTTTTTCGGCCCGCCCCTCCACGTGGACGCCCCTACCTGGCAGTGGAGGGTCATGGAACAACCTACGACGCAGGGCCCGCCAAGGATGTTGGCAGACCAGAACCCATCCTTTTCAACAGAGGGGAAGGGGCTTTCTCCCCCCCACGAGCCAAACCTCAAACAAACCAGTGAACAAAGGTATGTCCCCAAATCTTTTACCAATAATCTCTGCCCCAGCACAAGTAGCTGGACACCTAAAATATTTTCAGAACAATTGGCATCTTATTTCGGACGACCCTTGGGTGTTGGAGACTATTACGGGTTACAAAATAGAGTTTCACTCTATGCCTCACCAGATAGCCTGGCCTCACATTTTCGTGTCAACAACCCAACAGGAGGCTGTTCAAGCCGAGAAAGACAAAATGGCCTTGCAAGGAGCCATCCACCCAGTCTCCTCCAACACCGAAGGGGGGTTCGTCAGCAGTATATTTCTAGTCGACAAGAAGGACGGTGGCCACTGCCTGGTTATAAACCTAAAGAATCTGAATTCCTTTGTGCACTTCCAGCATTTCAAAATGGAGGGAATTCACATGTTATGGGATCTGTTAAAAAAAAAGGGGATTTCATGGTCAAACTGGACTTAAAAGATGCTTACTTTACTGTCCTGGTCTGGAAAGGGCATCAAAAATTCTTAAGGTTCATCTGGAAGGAAACTCTATGGGAATTTGCATGCCTTCCATTCGGGCTGGCCAGTGCACCCCGGACATTCACCAAAATCAGGAAACCTGTTGTGGCAACTCTTCGGAACTTGGGGATTCGTCTTATTATATATCTCGACGACCTTCTCATCCTAGCGGATTCAGAGCAGACTGCCAGACTACACCTGGCAACAGCTATGAATCTCCTAGAGAGTTTGGGGTTTATCATCAACCTGAAAAAGTCAGTTTTAGCCCCTGTGCATAAAATAGAATTCCTGGGTCTGTCTGTGGACTCAGTAACCCTGTGTCTTGCCCTCCCTCGAGACAAAGTCACGAGTATTTGCAGGGAGTGCGAAGGCCTGATCGCCAATCCAGTTGCAACAGTGCGGCAATTAGCCCATCTCTTGGGTCGGTTGAACTCCTCCATTCAAGCAGTGTTCCCTGCCCCACTCTATTACCGCTGCTTGCAGCAGGCAAAGATCCAAGCACTCCACTCAGGAGGCCATTACGAGTCTCAGGTCTATCTGAACCAGGAGGCGATAGAGGAATTGCAATGGTGGGCAGAGAACCTTATGGCTTGGAATGGGAGTGCCCTTGCCCACCCAGACCCCAGCATGATAATAGAGAGTGACACCTCAATGGAGGGCTGAGGTGCCCATTGCAATGGGGTGAGTACAGGTGGCCTATGGAGTCAATCCGAACAGTTTCTCCACATAAAGTGTCTGGAACTTCTAGCAGGCTTTGTGATCAAATGCTTCGCAAAGGACAAAACAAACATTCACATTCAGCTCCTGATGGACAATGTGACTGCACTTACATTCATCAACAAAATGGGGGGAACCAAATCCCGTGTCCTGGCCTCTCTGTCTCGCGGTCTCTGGCAGTGGTGTCTTCAGAGACAGATAAGAGTGTCTGCCACCCACATCCCAGGGATCCTGAATGTGAACGCAGACAGGGAATCCAGGCATCACCTGGACTCCTCCAATTGGAAGCTTTGCCCAGTAGTGTTCCAGACCCTTCAGAACCTTTAGGGCCCGTCTGGAACTCGACCTGTTTGCGTCCCCGTTGACAAACCAGCTACCTCGCTTTGTGAGCTGGAAACCAGACCCCCAGGCCGAAGCAGTGGACGCCTTCTCCCGTCAGTGGAACATAGTCAAGGGTTATGCCTTTCCCCCCTTCTGTCTCCTGGGCAGGTGCCTCAGTCAAGTGCTGAGACAGCAAGTCCCATGCCTTGTACTGGTAGCACCAGTGTGGAAATCTCAACCTTGGTATCCCCTCTTGCTGGATCTTCTGGTGGACTTTCCAGTCCTTATTCCCCAGTCTCCAAATCTATTAACCTGGGAGGGAGTGTCCCACCCTCTGACCCACCTCCAGCTGGGAGTATGGTTTATCTCAGGCAACAGTATGAGGAGGGAGGCTTTTCATGCCAAGCTAGAGAGCTCCTCTCAGCGGCTTGGAGGAAAAACACCTCCGACCAGTACGCTTCTGCATGGAGAAAGTGGACTGGCTGGTGCTCTCCGAGGAAAATTAATCCCGTTTCAGCATCTCTAAATGACATTATTAATTTTCTTGCAAGCGAGTTTTTGTAGGGGAAACAGTACCAAACACTTGATGTTTACAGATCTGTTATTTTAATGACCCACCCTACAATTGACTCTGTATGGGTAGGAGAGCACCCCATGGTTTGCCAGTTGTTGAAAGGAATCTTTAATTCAAGACCTCCCCAGCCCAGATACTCCTTCACCTGGGATGTGTCTGTGGTTGTTGAGTATATCAGAGGTCTCGGGTTGAATACATCCTTATCTTTGAAGTTGTTGACTCAAAAGCTTGTAATGCTTTTGGCTGTAACTTCTGCGGAAAGAAGCTCTGAACTGGTGGCCCATGACCTCCATTTCAGACGTTTTTACCCTGAGGGTGTAGTGTTCAACCTTCCATGCCTGACTAACTCTATTTGAACTGGGATTATACAAGGGACCGTAGGTCCTGAAGTATAAGATAGATTATACGATAAACATGAGACGGAATGTAACAGTACAATCCCACCCACATCTATAGCTCTGATGTGTAACATTTCTTTGTTTTAGTTTGTCTCTTTTCTTGTTTCTTCTGTTCCTTTCCAGGTTGGCTTGCTCAACAAAAAGGCGCTGTGGTGTGTGACCACAAGGACTTATGGGACCACGAGGCTGTTGAACTTGTTTTTCTTGTTTTTTCTGGTTAAACTCTCTAAATCGCTGTTATTGGAGCGAAATAAAGTTGGCATTGCATTGTTACATTCCGTCTCATGTTTCTCGTATAATCTATCTTATATATCTTCAGGACCTACAGTCCCTTGCATAATCTGGGATTGCACACTAAGTTTATATAACCATGAATTAAACTTAAGAAAAACTTAATTGAACTTGTTATAACCTTTTTAACTTCTGAAAATCAAATAATCTGACTTACCTCAAGGAAAAAGGGCATTTGTACTCTATGCCATTTTTGACACATTGGTAAATTTGAAAGGCCAGCAAAGAACTCAAGGCTTTGATTATGCCACTTAAATTCCTGTGTGATTTAAATTAAACAACGGGCATTTAATAAATTGAGGCTCACTTCAGCTACAACCACTTTTCTTGATCAGTTCAACTACAGTAGAATCCTGTCTGACAGCTACCCTGTTAATATGGCCATCTCATTATTACGGCCTCTTTATTCTGACCTGAATAAAAGCCTATTCAGTCATTTTCCTATTTAAAGAACCCCTCTAATAGGGCCACCCTGTTAATACCACCACATTTTTGTGGCCAGATTAACAGGGTTCCACTATACATGTCTAGCTGATTTAAGCCCTACTCTATCATTATTTCCTGTTTTTAAGCTGCTGTGTTTTTGGTATGTTTTTACCCCTCCCTTATCAATTTTTATGCCGGAATTGAGCCAGATACATGTCCCATCAGTAAATATTGTAACATCACCTTAATCTGCCCTCAGGTCAATAGGCAAGCATAATGTGATTATCACTGAAGGTTCAAGTACATCTATGTGGTACCTTCATATAAGTCAGTTCTCAAAGCCTAGATGTACCTTTCCCTCCATCCGTAAACTTCCACCCCGGCTAGACAAGTAACAGACCTACCTGACTGAAGGCACAGCATTCAATAATCCTTTCAGAATGTAATCAAGGTCAGCATGGCCATCAAAAACAAGTTGTACCAGGCACTGGCTACACAATCTGGCTGCCGATTCTGATGAATCTTCAATCATCTCCCACAATACCTTTAATTCAGGAATCTGATAAAAAACAGTTATGTAATGATGCCATTTTGAACACTTCTGGCTTACGGCTCATACAAAGTATAAATGGTATAAAGTACTCAGTGTTACTGTATAGATAAGCTTGACAAAATCATCATTGTCCATCCTCTGAGTGCCAGGTATTGCATGCTTAGGGCTGACATGACCAGACAAATGCAGACTACAGACTGAAGTTTTAGGTATATACTCGTTGTGTCTAGACTGCCTTACTGTAGCTTATGGATGTATTACCCACTGAATGTCAGTTAACCAACAAGGAATATGCCAAAGTCACCCATGTAGACATGTAGAATAGTCCAGGGCTTAGCAAAACATAATTATAGAAATTTGTCCTTGAACTTGGTTCTTTTTCCTTACCTCTTCTCTTGTGGTGTATGTGTGTAAGCATGTACATGTACATACCTCTACAGACTTCTCATTTAAGACAGATCCTGGTACCATCTTACCCAAGATACCATCATAAAGCTTCCATGCTGCCTGTTTTAGAAATTAATAATTAAAGACCTAATTAAAGGAAAAAAGTCAACCCAAGAGCCCTTCCCTGAGAAAAACTGAGTGTCTTTCAAGGTCTCTCCAAAGAAATGTCAGTGCACCCCGTGAAGACTATTGCTAGCGTCCCACTTGCTGTAAAGCTGTAAAATTTCCTTACAGGGCAGTAATTTCTCTATTAATTCACCTCACTTTCTTCACCTTCCTTTCTTATGGACCTTCCCCTCCCTCTAACACCCCCTCTCCACCCCCCCCCCAAAAAAATAACAAAACCCAGCTTGCAAGGCATTAAAAAACCAATCACTGTAAAAAGAAGACTGTGGACTGTGCACAGACTGTAGACTATGGAACGGGGGTAAAATGTGGATTGAGAGTAAAATGCAGACTGCTGATCACAGGTAAAATGCACACTGCAGACTGTAGACTTTTTAACTGAATCGTGTTACGATTTCCATAATTATTACTTATTATTGAGAGCTAGCTGTAAACAGGCTAACTGGAGCATTATTTAGGCTACCCTGAATGACGTTCAGGCTACTCAGGCTATTAAACCGGAGACTATCACTGTGAATAATCTTGTTCATAGCGAGCACTCGATAATGGAAATAATAGTAGTCTGCGGTCTGCATTCTGCGTTTTATCCTCACGCTGCATTTTATGCCCGGTCTACAGTCTGCAGTCCGCTGGCTTCGTTTTACACGGACAGTAAGGTGGGTTTTCGAAGAAAGAGAGACCCGGTGTAAGCTATAACGTACTACTGTGCATGCAAAGCAACCATAAATGTGACATAAAATATTATTAAAAGATAAAACACTAAAGTTTTGTATAAGCCAACCAATTTTGTTGGCAAAAATATCAGTACCTGTGACTGGAGAAAGGAATTGGCAAATGACAACCGTTTTCGCTGCTCGTCCGCCATCTTGAAAAAGAACTCGAACCTGCGCTATTAGGTCAGTGGTATTTCACCAGTCAGTATCGTCTGTCATATCGCACAACACAGAATCTCGACAACAAAAAATCCGCCATATTTGTTTTGTTGGCGTCGTTTGGTACAAAGGAATGCCCAGGCAAAGAAAAGTTCCAGCAAGATTTAGAGGTAAGATAAATATTTGCGGTACATTATCATCGTAGTTTTTAAAAATACATGTTGGAAAATACTTTAGAAACTTCATGTTTGTCTCTCCTTATTGCGAGGTTAAACAAAATCGAAAGCTTTGTTTGATCGATATATTGTTAGCTTTACAGAGCTTTGAAAAGTGCAGTATAAATCTTCCAACTGAGTACAACTCAAAAACCATGTCTGACACTGTTAAGCGAGAAAATTAAGCTTCGTGAAATTTAGTATGAAAGTTCTCTCGCAATTCAGAAAGTGTTACCCCGTGTGACTTCGGCTTAGTTTAATTAATTTGGGAATGATACATCTTATATTAAAAGCTCAAGTATTTTAACGTTTTATTATTTATTACATGACTGAGAAAATTGGTTTATTGTGATTGGCTGGAGCATGGAAATTTATCATTATTTTTAATTTGTCTTTTGTTTTATTAAGGTTTTTCCCTATTAGCTCTTTGTTAACTTTATTCAAAGCAGTTCATTGGCATTTCATTGTTCTATAATTGATGTTAACACTCTGTAGATGGTGCTAATCCTGATGAGATAGAAGCTGAAGGAGAAAGCAGTGGCTCAAACCCTGAGAGTCCACAGAAAAAACAGAGGAAGGAGAGTTCTGGCTCATCCGATCTTGCCAGCCCTGTAACTTCAGCTCAACACTTTGGAGTGCCTCCTGCCTTTACTACAGAATCCAATACACATTCACATTCACATCCTGTTGCTGAGGTATACAGATATATTTTCATTCATTTAGGAGTAAATAATTCATGCAAGGTATATGTACTTATGGTTTATCTTCTCTAGCTGTCTGCATGCATTGCTTGCCTAGATGATGTTATATAGTACTTTCAGTCTGACTCCTGAATTGAATTAACAAAACCTGTGGGTATCCACAAGAGATTATTGCAACTATGTCATGTGCAATATTCTAACAAATGTATGATAATCATTTTTTTTGGAGAGACTACCAACTTTCATGGTCTGTGTATAGTAGTGCCACTTTTTCTCCCTTTTTTTTAAATGTGGTCCTTTACATTGAAGATTTTCTTCATTCTTCATCCAGTGGTGGAACGATTTCACTCCATCACTCCTTCACTCCTTCACTCCTTCACTCCTTCACTCCTTCACTCCTTCACTCCTTCACTCCTTCACTCCTTCACTCCTTCACTCTTTCACTCCTTCACTCCTTCACTCCTTCACTTCCCGTTAGACATTTGGAAACCCCCGGGGGGAGACTCCCATATGAAAATGCAAGGGATGCTCGTCGGAAAATATGAATTTAACTCCTAAGGGAGACTGATGTGGACCTTGTTTGAGCTTCATTAGACCCCTAAAAGATATCACTTAAAACAGAAGAGGTTTGATCACTAGCCACTGTTCAAGAAAGGATCCCGTGTGCACTTGTAGACCCGACTCACGAACTCGAGAGATCACCAGAAATCAAGCCTGAAAACAGAAATTAAATTTATTCGTATTTCCTAGAGTGCACCCTAAAGGATACTTTGACAGCTAAAAATGGTGACGTTTCGTCATCAACACCCTAACTGAGACCAGAATCCTTGATTTGTACCCAAGGAAACGAGCGTCCCCGACCTTTTCATATAGGAGCCCCCCCCCTCCCCCAGGTTTCAAACATCAGCTGTCTAAGGTCATTTTACAGTAGCTTGCAGTGTGTCAAGTTAGTTATTTTCAAGAGGTAGAAGGTATAACGATTTTTTCATTGTAAGGAAAATACTTATGGTTCTTCCTTAGCAATTCGATTCAGGGACAGTCTTTGTGGTTTTTCCTTCACAAGCCTACGTGATATTGTGAGTTCAAAAGCAATTGATATACATGTAAACGAACAATTAAAGGCTCCAGACAATTTTTTTAACACAAGAAACGGAAAGACAAGCGCTACCTTTCAGTAAATGGTTTCTTGACAGAAAAAGAAAAAAACAAGGAAGAAGAAAAGGAAAAATAATCAGCAGTCACCACTAGGATTCGAACTCCCAATGTCTCGCATGGCAAGCCAGTGCTTATCACACTGCGCTAACTGTACATCAGTTACCGTAATGCTGAAATGTTAATTCTTTATGTAGTACGTACTGGAGGCTCAAGTGTTTCACTCAGTCTATACCTCACTTTTGACCAAACGAAATGATCTTGCCATTTTTGACTACAACACAAGGAAGACATGTACAGATACATGTAATGTAAAACGTGTAGGCAGGCCTGAGTAACAAACAGTTTCTTAACTTTGAACTTTTTCATTTTTCAAATATTACACTGTAAAGCCTTTTTCCATTCAGGGGTGTGTCGTCAGTAACAACACACCCCTGAATGGAAAAAGGCTTTATGGGCTTGTTCAAAAGCTAGACTGCCCTCACATCACAGGTAGTTCCTTAATGAGCAATGCCTCATAACACCTTTTCATAATTTATTTTCCAAGTTCAGTGGCTCACAGCCACTTTGATTTATCTCTCAACACAATATGTTACTTGAGCCAGGGATTTAGTAGATTACCATGCATAACTTTTGAGCATAAATCAAGCATTGCATTGTATGTTATGTTTAATCCTAGCTGGCACTTCTGCTTATCCTAGATAGCATTTTGATATGATTTTGTTTCCTCAGGGCACTGTAGAAATGAACAGATCTAGCCTTGAAATTGATCCAGTGTATCCATGTGGCATCTGCAAGAGAGAAGTGAATGATAACGATGACGCTATATTCTGTGAAACAGGATGTGCCCAGTGGTATCATCGTGTGTGTACAGGCCTCACTGAACTAGCTTATGACTTACTCACTGCTGAGGAGAATGCAGAGTGGGTTTGCGACAATTGTATTGCAACTAAAAGTGTCCCATTAGTCAAGTTGAAGAGTTGACTTTTATTCTTAATAACCAAGCTAACTGAATCTGTTTAGAAACAATCCATTAGTAAACATGAAGTTCTAAGGCTTCATGTGCATGTGCTGTGTACATCACTCAGATACTTTATTTCTCATACAATTGATGTTTGTTTTCCTGCATAAACCCCATTGACACCCAAAAAGCTAGGTCAAGTTAAAACTTTAAAAAATGTTAATTTAAACAGAGTTGAAATGAGCTTTACTTATAGTTTTACCTTTAATTACTGCATAATTAAATGAATGGAACAGTCTGCATGTTTTCTTTATGGGGCTTCTTTTTAAAGACTTTTTAAAGACACATTTGAAAGAATTACAACTTCAGTTCAGAAATGGCAAGGTATGTGAAAACATTGGGTATCGTGTTTCAAACTTTAGTTCAAAATAGAGTTACATCTCTACCATCAATATCTAAAACAATGATTGATCAATAAAGTCATGGCAATATTATAACATAGTATAAGTAAAATGACTGAAATGAAAAAGCACAATGACTTAATTGATGTACTTCGAAATATTTAACAATTATTCTTTGAAATCGAGGTGAGTAGTGGCAGAATATTTACTGAGCCACAAAGTAGTGAGGTGAGTATTCTGCCGCTATTCACTGAGATTGTTTTAATAATTGTTTTAGCATATACACACAAAGTGATCTGAAAAACAGACCAGAAGGAAACCATTATGATTTAATTGATCTCTCAATTCATGTATGGAAAATGTGCAAATGGCACAAAGCATACACAAAACTATTTGCAAAATTATCTTCAAACATGACAAATCTAGTTAACCTTCAATAAAATCCTCATAGCAATCTAGCAAAATGGTCTTTTAACACCGTTCAAACCAGCAATCTAAATTGAAAGTCTGTTTAGAAAACACTTAATTCACTGCTCACTCAAAGTTTTCAATTTAACTCGAAATGAAAATTGAAAGAGCAGTTGGTGAAGGATCAACCTGAAATTATACATTTTGTGCCAGACTGTGGTGAAAACTGTACAATGTATTTTTTTGCACAAAGACATTCTCCTAAATACTTGTGGAGGTGCTTTGTTGAATAGCACTTTAAGTTTCTGCCAATGAACCCTGAAGTATTTATTTCTACCAATGCTGGGTGAAGAGTGACTTAGCGGTCAGGTTTACTTAGATTGATTGAATCTCTGATTGCCAAGAACATGTCCTGAAACTGCTCGAAAGTCGGACATCCATAATTTTTTCTACTATTTGAAAACTTTCAGGCCAAATTTCATAGCCTTCTTTGTATTTTCTGTTATCGTATGGCTGTCTCACAAGGACTGGGAACTACCGAATTCATGAATTTGATTGGCTGAAATCGATATTGACCACGGTCTAGATTTTCCCATCTAGACTGGCATCTAGACCGG